AACTCGTGCACAAGCTGGCGTGCAAACCGGGGCCAATACGCCTACTAACAGGTTTAGGGTTTAGGGTTTAGGGCCACTAACAATCTGAAGCACACATGCATTGCGAGTAGCAAATCAAAATGAGCTATAGTCTAAACTCCTAGCATCGCCCTAATAGACCCTATAATGCTCCCCTGTATATTCCCCTAGATTACCCCCCTTTAAGATCTTTCAGGAGCTTAAACTTTAGCCCACATCAACTTCCCAACGCAATGCCAGTCGCAGGGAGCCGCATACCTGGGTTGCTGTCAAGGAAGGTAAATCAAGTCCCCATGATGGGTATATCTAGTAAATAATAGGGTTTCCCCCTAAACCCTGAACCTTAAACCCTCAAATATAGTAACTCAAATTGAGTTCCTTAACAGCAACCCAGATGCTTGAAGTCTGGGGGCCCACAGACGCTGCAAGCTGCGTCATTCAGCTCAGGGTCTGATGCACCTGAGGGCTGTAGGATTGGGTTTAGACAGACACGCGCATCGCTCACAGCAGGCACGGCAACGACTGTCTGTTCGGGGCAGCTCCAGCACATTCACTGGGGGCCGACTACCAGCAGGCAACATTTAGGGTTTAAGGTTTTAGGGTTTAGGGCTTAGAGTTTGGAGGTTTAGGGTTTAGAGTTTAGAGTTGAGGGTTTAGAGTTTAAGGCTATACTCTTACAATATTTGTTGGGACTGCAATACTCTCATCACATAGACTACTTTATACTACCCCCCCCCCCCCACTTCTATAACCCCCAATTACATAGACGACTATACAAAACCCATTGCACAGACTACTGTACTAACCCCCACTACTTACACTACACACCTGGGTTGTAGTTGGTGAGCTCACACTTGGGATCCGCAGGTTTTGCTCGTTCTCGCTTGGCGGTAATGACCAGTGCACCATCCTTACACACTGCATTCTGCGGCTGGTACCACTGCCTTGGCGGCCCAGTAACCATCTTGCAGTAAGGGTACTTTGTTACTTTTGGCCTCTTGCATACAAGAACCCAGAACTCAAAAAGTGTGAAAGAGTAAAAGTGGACTTCCCAGGTGCAGCTCCTTGCCGCGCTTGTAGCCAACTTCGGCTGTCCAGTAGTGGGGATTTGGGCGCATGATGCCCGAACTGTCCGGGACACAGGTCAAGTGATCGAAATGGTCCTCCCAAACGAGCTCCCAGATTGGTAGGCCCATTGAGGCTGCACCCATCTTGCTCGGGCCACTGCACTTTCCCCTCTTCCACGCAGGGCACTTGCTTGTTTCATATCCGGCGAAGCACTCTGCAGAGGACCACTCATCTGCTTCTGACACATCGACGGACACATGACCCTCCTGGAACTCGCATAAGCCGGTATCCTCTTCGTAGTTGTCGCCATCGTTCTCGTCCCCGACCCTCTGGGCGTTGTCCTTGTAGGAGCAACAGCCATCCTTCGCATGGCCCGCGCACATCAATGCGCAGGCCCATTCGTTGACGACCGGGAACCTTGGCTTAAAATTAGCAAGTAATGCAAGACATCTTTCTTTTGGTGCGCAGGAGGACCTGACATGGTAAATGCCTTGAAATCCTTGGCCAGGATGCTTGCCATCCTGTCGCATAGGTGGCACAGTGGTCGTCTTAGAGGCAGTTTTGTTCACCTCCTCCTGCTCAGGAAGCCGTTCCAGGACGCCCTGAAAGCACGCTCTGGACCTACAAATTTCACAGCCACAGAACCACCTTGGAATCCACGCCATCATGCTACCCTGCTAGCTAGCCTCAGCAAGATCCATGTCTGAACCCCGCTCATTGACGTATTGTTGTCATTTCTACGACTGCAGTTTATCTTTCTCACTGATGCCTTACTATTCCTATTACTGGTACTATCACTATTATTACTACTGTTACTATCACTATTATTACTACTGGTACTATCACTATTATTACTATGGCGTCTGGTCCTGGTCGTCACCGAACGATGCGTCCACTTCGGCCAGGATGCTCGGGGTTGCGGATTTCGAGCCCCCCCAGGACAGAGGGAGACCATGGTACCTGAAAGCTGTCTACTAGGGTTTATAAGGTTTAGGGTTTTCACCATGACCCAATAAGAGCCTACAATAGGGATAATATTAAGGGCTATATAAAGTTGCAGCAACCGTGTCATCCAACTGTTACTGTGTGGGGGCAGTATCCAATTCACAAGCGTAAGCTACTGAAGGATCCTACCTGGCTATGACTTCACACAGAAGATCTGGCGCGCTGTACGGAATCAGATACGGTTCAGGGCCTCGGAATAGCTAACAGGAAAGTACAAGGGCACCTATGCAGGCTCCTCCCCCCCCCACCACCCCCACCCCCAAACATTCAATATGTCCCCCAATATACTTTGCTTTGCTTACCTGGGTTGGGCGGGTAGTGAGAGTCCAGAAGACCCAACTTATAGGATTGGCATAGAAAGCCTCTGGGACATCACCCATCTCCCGACTACTCACCTGCGACGGGCTACGACTTTTAAATATTATATGTCGAGGCGTTCAAGGTTTTGGGTTGTGGGCTTAGGGCCCAAAATCTTGCATCCCGCTTGGAGAGCTGCACGATCAAAGTCCCGAACGGCCAAGGGCATAGTTTGATGCACCACTGTGTTCATCAACATGGTTCGCGTGTTTCTCGGAATTTGAGTTTCCTCTGGGATACGTGCAAGTTCTGGGGCGATTACCCTATGGACCATTCAGAGGCTCCTCTGGGGTGCTACCTCTCATCAGGACAATAAATTTTAAGGGAACCCCGTTTGCAGAGCCCACATGGACATACTGGTTTGTCGCGGCGCTCCTCAACCCACCATCATTCCGAGTGATGCTGTTCTTTCATGTGCTGGCCAACTTTCCAAAACTTGCAGCTCAGGTGCTTCACATGGGGGCGGTGGATATGATGATGCCGCTTCATATGCGCGACTCTGCTGATGGAACCTTGTGACATGCTGCAGCAAATCGTTGCAACGAGCAAACGCCTATCCTGGAAAACAAGCATGGGAACCCTGGCAGCTTGAAGTTGTTCAGCAATGCATTCTACAGGTTGGCGCACAGGTTCGTAATCTTTGGGTTAATATGGATGTTTATGAGGAAATATTACTGTGGGGGATTCAACTAGGGTATTTGGAGTCATGCTGCCTAGTATAGGTAACAAACAAGGACCTGCATAGTTAGGAAATGCATGCAAAGATTGCAGCCGCCAGCTAAAGATGCAGCTGAAGGACCGTCGGCTTTCACAGAGGACTCATAGTTGACTGCGCCTACCAGGCATACAGGTGGCTTCATGGGTTCAAGTAGTAGCCCCCTCTATACTACCCCCCCTAGGGTCCCCCCTCAATTAAGGTTATTCAGGGATAATTAGGCCTAATTAAGGTAAATTAGGGGGCAACCTAGGACCTAGGGGGGTAGTATCGAGGGGGGTACTACTGGAACCCATGATGGTTAGGAGGGGAATCCTTTATTCCCGTGCTGAACCGCAGATCCTACAAGGCAAAAGGGGTGTCCATTCTCTGTTCCATCCCACTAATTATTCCTTACTACTTACCACCGGTGAATTCCGAGAAGAGTCATACTTGACAGCGCCTGACTGGTGGCTAGCAGGGAATGAAGGTACGAAACACACGTATACCCTCGACCCTCAACCCAAAAAAGCGCCTCAGTCTTGTTAAGCCCTAAACCCCAAACCCTAAAACAGGTAAGCCCTAGACCCTCAACCCTAGACCCAAAGCCCTAAACCCCTAAACCCCTAAACCCTAACTTCCCAGAGGTCTCATAGTTCACTGCGCCTACCAGCAGCTGAAGCGAGAACAGCAACGCAGGCACAGCCATGCTGAGGCGTAACCTGGCCAGATTTAGGGTTTAGGGGTCTAAGGGCTTTAGGGGTTCTAAGGGTGTAAGGGTTTAGGGGTTCTAAGGGTTTAGGGTTCTAAGGGTTCAAGGGTTTTAGGGTGTAGGGGTTTAATGGTTTTAGGGTTTAATTTACCGGCTCTAAGGGTTTAAGGGTTTTGGGGTTTAGGGCTTAGTGCTTAAGAGTTTGTTGCATCTATCTTATCCACCCAGTGGCTCAAGGCCGAAAGCGTGGTTGCGCAGAAGCTTGGAAGGGCTTCGGGCTTAGGATGTACGTAGGGTTTTGAATCTTGGGGCTTAGGAGTTAGGGGCTTATATAGGGTGTAAGATTTAGGGCTTAGTGCGGGTACTGCCTTCACACGGTAACACTCCTTGTCACTGAGTGGGAACAGAATCCTAGGCTTACAGGTTTAGAGCTTGCAGTTTCGGTTTGTCCTTAGTTTGGGGTTTAAGGTTCCGCTTTAGGGTTAGGGTGTTATCTTTTCAGGGTTTGGAGCGTGAAGTTTACCATTTGTAGAGTTTCCTAGACGGTTCCCCCACTCACTGGCGACCACAAAGAATAATTGTACCTATATTTGGCCGGCCCCTCCATTTTTCACGTCAGACGACCATCAGCGAGCGCAGAATAAATAATCTGAGGTGCATTTGAAGATTCACCGTACCGAAAACAACTATGACAAGAGAATCCCTACTGAGAGAAACACGGGACCCCAAACTGACTCATGATTCTGAGAAACCCCTAAGCAGTAGCACGCAGGCATACAACAACCCTGAAGCCTGGGCTGTAGGAACTTCTGCAAGCAGCCGACCTCGACAAGAAGAACATGTCATCAGCAGACATTTTCTTGAGCCAGATAGGCAGCAGAGGAAGTCTCCTCGCAAGGATAGGTTGCTTGTGTCAGTCCAATCCCACAGTATGAAGATGTGGGTTTAGGGTTTAGGCTTTGGGGACCCACAACAAAAGGGACCTCAAGTTTTTGGAAATCCCCATATCTCAGTGTGCCACCCGCGGCGTGGAAAGTCAAAATCCTGTCGAAGGAGCAGAACTAAACTGTGCTCCTGCAGCCAATCTACCCCTTATGTGCGCCCGCAGAATCACTCTACAGAAAAAAAACCCTACAAACAGCATAAAATTCGGCAAAACCCCACGAAGCACGGTTTTGATGAAGAACAAGCTCTCACCTGATGCCAGCCAAAACTTGCTACACCTTCTGTTACATCTGCGCTCGCACACAGACACAATGCCACAATGCAGAAGCAAGCTAGACCCGCCTGAACCCCAGACTAAACTTTGCCTGGAGGGTCATGGGGACTTATTAAGTAGGTTAATAATGGGGATAATCGGGGTAATTCTATGGCTTACAGGGGTTATTAAGTTATTAACCTACTAACTAAGTCCCAATGACCCTAAAACCGTAAACCGTAAACAATATAGCAGTATTTGTTTTCTTTTCCATGTTTCACCTACTTAGTCATAAGTCTCCATGACCCTCCAAGTGGATATCCAAGGCGGGCGTCGCCTCTTCTGCAAGCAGAGCGGCCTGCGTCAGACCAAATAACCCCTCCCCCCAAAGTTGATACGGTGGATACGAAAAATCCTGCATGATCCCAAGCACCATATACTTTAGGAATTATGGGATTATAGTATACTATGGTCATGCAGGATTTTTAGTATCAACAGTATTTAAGCCCACCCCCCCAAAGGGTTTCACAGCAGTGCAGGCACGCCAACAACTGTCCTGTCCGGTAGACACAGCAATTTCAGCTGGGTAAGGGGTGACGCATGGACAACTCCACTGTCGACTGACTTTTTTTTGTTCTGCAAGCGCGCAAATGCGCAGATCAAGCGCGGCGGAGCAACGGTCTTAAAAGATGGCCATGCGGCCAGAGGAGTTTTAGGGTTTAGGTTTTCGGGTTTAGCTTAATTCTGTTAGATCTTCGCTGCACCGTAACGCTCTTTCACAGTCAAGCTACGAAGCTCGACTGCCACTCAAAAAGTGCAACTGCCGCCAAGTTGATCCGCTCACGTCGAAGAGGGATTCACACCGTTCAGGGTTTAGCGGTTCAAATTGGCCCTGAACCCTAAACCATAATTAGTGCTTTTGTGAAGGTGCGTGGATCCTCCCTTCAACTGGTTGGCTTGTGCCAGCGAGAGAGAGCAACAAGGCCAGGGATTCCGCACTGTGCCCCGAACGCCAGAGCAGGTGAACACACTACGAACCAGGAGAATCGCCAGAGCAACACTTTCTGCTCTGACCTCTGTCTGCCTTTTGTGGGCTACTTAAACAATTCGGACCAGTGGTCCAGCTTGTTTTGGATAGTGAAGACCCGCAGTTCAGCAGCTGGAGTTTACATAAAATCCCGACTTCAGATGCTTGCGTCTCTAAAAGAACGAAAACCCTCAGCAACGAACGCTTACAGATCTTCGGTCATAAGCACTGCTTAATTAAAGTGAAATCAAAGGACGCTCTGCAGCATGACGGGCGAAGCGCAAATATTGGGTTGAGGGTTGGAAGTCTTAGAGCTTGTTGTCCGCACTCACTTCTCAGCTGCAAACGGTCCCTGGACCCACTTGGATAGTGGCTTCTGGCCGGACGAACGGCGAGAAGTCTTATGCCCCAACAGTAACAAACTCACCCGGAGCAGGCTAACATGAGCTATAGTGAAAACTCCTAGTATCCCCCTTAATAACCCCTATAGTAATCCCCTATATAATCCCCTATATAACCCCCCTTCAGAGAGTTTAGACTACAGCTCACATGCGCTCTGGGAGCCCCCTTAGGCGGCAAAGTCGACGCCCTCAATCTTGTCCTCGCACTCCTGGTACACATCCCGCAATTTCTGGATGTTCTCCTCATCAGTGTCCCAGTAGCCCTTTGCATTGGCCTCCAGGAACGTCTGAACCATATCCCTCAAGGCATCCGGATTCGCTTCCAACATCTTGTTCTTGATCTCTTCATCCTGGATGTAGGTCGTGTTGCAGTCTTCGTACACGAAGTTGTCAACCGCGTCTGCAGTGGTACTCCAACCAAAGGTAAACCTCATGCGCTTGGAGATTTCCCGGACTCCCTCATAGCCTCCCTTCAAGTTTGCCTCGTAGAACTTCGGATTCAGGAGCTTCGTTCTGCTGTCCAACCTAACCTGAGCGGAAAGAGACCTGACCTGAGCGTTTGCCGTGGTCGTGTCCGCGATGAGGGCCGCAGGTTTTTTGCCGTCCTTGCGGAGGTTGGAGACGACCTTGGTGGGGTCATTGTCGAAGTAATGGGAGACGTCGGTCAGTGAAATCTCGCTGCTGTCCAGATTCTGGAACGTGACGTCCACCTTGCTAAGAGCAGACTTGAAGAGACCGGAGGACTCGATGAGTTCACCAGGCGCATCAGAGCTCAGCGCAAAGCCCTTTCGCGTGACGAACTGTTCCTGCAGCTGCTCTTCATCAACATTAGCGCCGTTCTCCACCGCGATACCGACGTTCGCGGAGTAGGAGCCCGCCGCGTTGGAGAAGACGCGAGTTGCGGCCTGTCGGAGAGAGATGTTGAGCTCTTCCGCCTGCTCCATGGCGTGCTTGCGCACGAAGTTCTGCTCGGGAGGCTCGTCCGCCTCGGCCGCAGCCTTGATCGCCCGGTCGAGCAGGTTCATCTGATTGATGAAGAGGTCGCGGAAGACACCCGAGCAATTGCACACGACGTCGACGCGAGGTCGCCCAAGCTTCTGAAGCGGGATCAGCTCGACCTTGTTGACGCGTCCAAGAGAGTCGGGGACGGGCCGGGCACCAACGAGCGCCAGAACCTGCGCCAGGGACTCTCCGTAGGTCTTGATGTTGTCCGTGCCCCACAGGGTGAAGGCAATCGACTCCGGCATCTCACCCTGCTGCTCCTTCAAAGACTCCAGAAGTCGGTCTACCACTACCATGGCCACATCCGTGGCTGCCTTCGTTGGGATGGAGTTAGGATCCAGAGCGTGCATGTTCTTGCCGGTAGGCAAAACATCCGGATTGCGGATAGGGTCGCCGCCAGGACCGGGTTCGATGAACTTACCATCCAGCGCGTTGATGAGGCTGCCGACCTCGTT